TGTGTGTGTGTGTGTGTGTGTGTGTGTGTGTGTGTGTGTGTGTGTCTGTCTGTCTGTCTGTCTGTGTGTTAATGACTGCAGCAGTAATGACTGTGTGTTTGTGTGCAGATGTGAACGAGTGTGCGTTCAGGCCGTGTAAGTACAGGTGTATGAACACACCGGGCAGTTATAAATGCTACTGTCTCAACGGCTACATGATGATGGCTGACGGCACGTGTCGCAGTGAGTATTTCCAGTTACTTCCAGTATCCTAAAATTTGTGTCCTATTTTACACACTCAACATGCATTTATCACATTTATATACGTGGTATACAGTATATCGTCTGCGATAATATGCTAAGTATTTTTTTAAGAACGTGCGATCTGACATTATCGAGCATACCACAAAAACACAGAGGGAGAGAGAGTGCAGAGAGGTAAAAAAGCCTCTGTATGTCTTTTATATTTATATAATTTAATCTATATCACGTGAAGAGTGCCATTTTTTTTCTCCAGATATCAGCATGATAACAAATGTAATATTGATTTTATACACGTTTAAAGTTAGCAGACACAATATTGCCTGTTTTTGCTCAATTTCGTTAACGGAAATAGTTCCAAACAAAGATCAAAGCACAGTTTTGCATCTCTGAGCAACACAGGACGGTGTTTCCTTATTGAACGAATCAGCTTTTTGAACGAATCGGTTGAATGAATGATTTAGTGACTCTCTTATTAACACAGTCAAATGCTTCGTTCCTGAATTAATATCACTTAAAACACATTCAATACATAAAACACATTTGGGAGAATCTCACAAAACCTGTCCATAACGTAATTTCACACACACAAAAAATAGAAGAAAAAAATTAGAAATTACAGTTTGCTTTAATTATATTTATAATTACGGAGTGTCTATTTACACTAAGTGCTAATAGCCCGCCTTGTTGGCAGAGGCTATTTACACTAACTCCGCCCACCAACCTGGGATTGAGGTAGTCAACACTAAAAAAGACACTCATAAAACATCAGTCTTATTATTTGATATTCATACTTGTTCTGGCTCTGCTCAGATGTGGACGAGTGTGTGACGGGGCAGGCCTCGTGTCCGAGGTTTCGTAAGTGTGTGAACACATTTGGCAGCTACGTCTGCAGATGCCATGAAGGCTTCGAGCTGCGGCACATCAACGGAAAATACCACTGCACAGGTGTGACTACAGACAAACACACCCATACAGACATTATTGAGCACATTTGTGTTTACAATGATGTTTACAATGAGCATTTATATTCAGATTAAATTCAAATATATTAAATAATTACAATATGTAAGTATATAAATATATGCAGAATAATATATAAGTATTATATAAAAGATTATAAAAATATAACATATATATATCCATACATATTTACACTCAAAAATGCATTTGACATTTTGCATTAATTCTATTTTTATTTTATTTAGTGATAATTTTTATTTTATTTGTTATTTTTAATTAATACAATATCAATTTATTAATTTAAATAAATAAATAATATGCGATTATTTTTATATAATAATATAGTAATAATAATGCTATTAAATATTATGTATATAATTATTTGTAGATTACATTTAATATAATTAATATAAAAATAAATATAAAAAATTATTACTCAAATAATATTTTAATTATATCTATGTATTAATGACCATTATATAGAGATTTTGTACATTGCTGAGTTACTTTTTACATTATGCTGCATATTCTAAACATTTGTGTTTTCCAGATAAAAAGTTTTCATCTATTTGCTATGACAAGCCCGGACACAAGAAATGCAAATGCACACCGAGTGTTAAAGGAAAGGGTTACGACTGTAAATGTAAGTGTGTGTGTGATTTATGCCATCGATTGACAGTGTTTTCTGTGTGTTTAAGTGATGCTGTGTGTGTTTCAGCTGTTCTTAAAGTCACCATTGAGCCGGCAAGACCAGTCGAAGTCACAGTCAGCCCGACAACCGTCTCCACGGCAACAACTCCCATGACAACCAACAGAAAAACTACAACTACAGCCACTCCTACTACTACCGTTACCATAGCAACTTCTGTTCCGACAAGCACTGCCATGACGACAGTAACACAGACTACTGTTGCTATAGCAACAACTACAACTGCAACAACAACAACAACTACTACAGCCCTCACAACTGTTGCTATGACCACAAGTCCAACTACAACATTGACATCATCAGCACTGACAACTACAGACACGCCTCCAACGACAACCTCCATCAAAACAACAACAACAACAACAACAAGCACACAGATGAGCTCAACTACAACACTAGACAACCGCATTCACAGAGAGAACACCGCCAAACCACGAGGAGACGTACACAGTGAGATCTATTCATGTCTCTTCTGCTCAGCAAGGCTGCATTTGTTTGAATAAAAATTACAGTGAAAATTCTGAAATATTTTTACAATTTAAAATAGCTGTTTTCTATGTGAATATCTGTTAAACTGTAATGTATTTCTGTGATGCGCAGCTGTATTTTCAGCATCATTACTCCAGTCTTCAGTGTCACATGATCTTCAAGTTGAGCTTTATCAAGTTCAAGTTCAAGTTCAAGTTCAAGTTGAGCTTTATTGTCATTCTGCTGCATGTGGGGACATACAGTGGAACGAAATGTCGTGCCTCACAGGACCACGGTGTTACATAAATACAGGCATACAACAATGAAGTAAAACAGTAAAAACCTATACAGTAAAGCAGTAAAAACCTATACACAACTAACCTACTGACTGATTTTGATTATAAATATACTATATATATATATATAAATGTTTACCTATACATAAGTTAAAAAAATACAGACTATACGGATGCTTCACATAAACACTGTACCTATACACAGCTAACCTACTGACAGATTTTGACTATGAATATACTATATATAAATGTTTAGCTATGCATAAATTAAAAAAAAAATAGTTGCTCTGTGGAGCTTCTGTCACTAAAACAAATTCCTCGTATGTGTAAACATTAACATATCTGGCAATAAAGCTCATTCTGATTCTGATTTTACTAAATGGACAGTAAAGACAAAATTGCTCTGTTTGCTGTGGAGTCAAGACATGTGTAAATATGTTTAAAAGATGAATATGAGACAAAACTACAGAATGTCAGATTTTATTATTAGCTGTTTCAACACATATATGTGCATGCAATCACAGCAGTGAGTCTGCGACCCATAGACATCACTTGGTCTCATCCTTTGAAATGCTTTTCCCAGCCTTTAATGCAGCCAATTCCAACTGTTTTGCTTGTTTTGGGGAGTTTCTGCCTTTAGTCTACTCTTCAGCCGGTGAAATTCATGTTCAATCGGATTTAAATCTGGAGATTGACTTTGCATTTCTTTGCCCTGATAAACTCCTCGACTAAACTGGCAGTGTTTTGGGTCAAACTCTAATCTTGCCTTTCTAGTTTTGGTGCTGGTCAGAGGTTTGCATCTTGCTGTAGCATCTGTAATTCTGTGTCCAAGTCTCCTGCGGACAGTAGATTGTCCCAAGCATCACCCCTGCTTTCTGCAGGTTGTTGGTGATTTTACAGACACGTATTTTAGGGTTCATTTTCACAGCTTTTATGATTTGTCTGTCATCAACTGCTGTTGTTTTTCTCAGATGATCAGGTTGTCGTTGGCTGCTGATGTCTCCGGTGGTCTCCAAACTCTTGATTTGTCCATGCCCTTTGTTTTTGCTATAGCTCTAATTGACCTCCTCTTTTCTTTTAGCATCCAAATTGCTTGCTTTTCTCTCTCAAAGTCAGCTCCCTCGTCTTCATCCTGGTTTGTGTGTGTCGTCATCGAATGCAAGACTCAGAATGCAGAAGCAATGGATATAACTGATATGACACATTACCTGCTTTTAATATCTGAAGAATTAATGCAACTGGACACAGCTGATCATTTAGAAAGACCTGTGAGGCAACTGTTCCAATACTTATGCTCACATCAGATAGTGGGGTGAAACTCTAAAAGTGCTGATCTTCTTAGCTGGTAAAACATCTATGTGTTGAATCACCCAATAATAAAATGTGACAATTTGTAGTTTTATCTCATATTCATCTTTTAATCATATTTGCAAATGTCTTGACTCCACAGCAAACAGTACTTATGGAGGGCACTGTATATATACATATATATATACTAATAACCCGAGAGAAAAACTGGAAATTCAATTTTTGTGTCAATTTGTAAAATGACAAATTGATAACACTTCAGTGAGAGTGACACACGACGAAACCGGTTCACACACGTGTGTTTGTGCGTGTCAGATCGCACAGAACTCATTCTGCTCTCTAAACCAAAGCTGCTGTTCAACCGGTATTTCTGCTATTCTGTCCCT